ATCTGTGGACAAACGGATGGTTTTATACCAGATCAGAAGAATCATTCCGTGTCATCTACAAAAAACCTGTCTTCACGTTCAACATGTACTGGGTTGGTGCATATGAAAAGCAATTGAAGATAAGCATCGACCTTGTGCCAGGTGTATATCAACGAGGATGGTGGCCACCTCATACAACATTTGATAAGATGAAGCTGGTAAATGAGACGGTGAAAGCTGCAGGCTGCCTTGTTCTAATGCAAACTGAGGAGAACATTTTCTCTACTGAGCCATATAAGATGCAGGACTCGATAACACTTACCTGTAAAGTCTTAGATTCGAATGATAAACAACGCTGCCTGCTTATAAGTGTTGCTCCTGCAGAAATTGCTCTCATGAAATCACTACCAGAAATATACAGACAAGCGTATGCTTTGGCAAAGATAATGAAAACTTCCAATATCTGTCCAGATGTTGAAATTGATATTGAACCACCAGACATCTACCCTTCAATTGATAAGAATTTTAGAGATCAGTCTGGAAAAAGGCGTGCACGCTCCACTATCAGTCCATCAGACGAGATCAAGAGTTATTGGATGAAAAATTGTATATTTTACGTAGCAGACGAAAATATGAAACATGGCTTGCGTGAAGACACAACTCCGCTTGATATAACCACTATGGCGTACAAAAAACTTTTAGACTTCGCCCAGAGTTGGAACTTCAGGCCATATATACTTCACAAGTACGATCTATTTGATTTTATACCTGGAACATATACGTTCGATGTATATATCACAAGACGGAAAGTTTGCTTTGAAATGATGCTGTTTTTGCTTGGACAGCCATTGGACAAAAATTTCATGGCATGGATAGAAAAGTGTAGTGCTAACTACTCATCTAAGTAGAAATTATGAACTATGTCAGTTTAACATTAAATAACTTCCGATTTAAACGTATGCTAACTTTTGCTTACTAACAAGAACATCAGCTTACCAAACAAAAGTTTTTTTTTAAAGAACGATTAAAACGATGTTGATAATATTAGCCATTTCAATCGCTAAGCATTCGAATTCTTTCTTATTGATCCTCGCCAGCCACATTCTCTTTTCGTTTGTTTGTTTTTCTGGGTTTTTTTATTATTTGTTTGCCCTATACAAGTATATATCTCCTAAATACTTCCCTATTCCCGTTTTGAAACGATTTCCTGTTTTATGTGTGTTTGGTGGCTGCTTGGTGTTCTGTTTGTTTACAAAATATATATTTGACTTGATGTTCTTTACATGTGGTTTGTTTGTTGGTTTGTGCATTTTTTGGTTGGTGATATATAGATTGATAAAATATTAACGTACCTGTATTTAGTGGCATCCTTTTCAAAGAAAACCAACTGTTACCTTATGGTCTTAATAATGTTTGTTAAGACATATGTGGATGAATTTAATATTCATGGTTATGCACTGAAAAACACTGACATTTTGAATTCATATATAATGTTATTTTGTGTATATGCATGCGTGCGTGCGTGCGTGTGTGTGTGCACGCGCACAAATGTTACCTATACTTGTACTTGCTACATTGGTATGTGTATTTCTTTATTAAATGCTATAAAACAATAGTACATTGTCTATCACAGTCACGTGGAGAGGCATATGTTTTTCACTCACCAGGCTTAATAGTGATAAACATGTACATTGATTTATGTTTGTGCCAATAAAAATGTTGAATCTTTTGTCAATTAATCAGAACCAGAACCAACATATGCCATCATTCTACAGTGAACACTTCACTTTCTGTCCCTCTACCCTGAACTACTTTCTGATCTCTTTATATCCTTTTTCCCAATGTCGTGAATAAAGTTTGAATAAACTGTTGTAGTGTTGTTTTTTAGGAGAGTGTTTCATATAAGTTTAAAACTTTTTACCCAATTCTGATTGTTGTTGATAAAATTGATATGCATGTTCATTTAATTTCATAATGAAAATCTCAATATCTATAAAATTTGCGAATTTGGCAAAATCTGGATATTTCGATGCACAGTTACTAGAAAATCAGTATAATCTTAAGTAGCTCTAGCAGAATATTTAAACCTCATGGTTACAATAACAATTAAAAATAAAGCCTGTTTATTGATCAGACGTTTGACGGTGAACCTTGCCATGATTCCTGATTATTTTAATAGCTTCTGTACGAATGTAGCTTCTAATTATAGAAATTTGTTTAGTGTAGCATCTGGAGCGGATACACGTTTTTATACTAGTAGTAATAAAAGGCTACAAAAATGAAAGGAGTTTTTATCACCATCGTTTTAGCAAGGAGTTTGTACACAAAATGGTGTAGACTTTACAAAAAAGAAGAAAGAAAAATACTCAAATGAATTAAACTTTCACATGTCTAACGTACCTCTTGGATTTGTTCAAATAAACGCGTCTAAAGAGTTGTTCACTGGTAGTGTAATGTTGGACCTATAAAAAGCTTTTGATATCGTCAGTGTGGGAATAAGCTGTAATAGGTGTCTAAATATATTTCTTGGCCCCATTATACATGTCAGGATAGCCCCATTATACATGTCAGGAAGGTATCAAAAAGTTTCAGTTCATATTACATGTAGGGTCTCCCAAGACTGTATTCTGGCCTTTTTAATGACATGGTGGCTAGCCATGATCCTGATTGCAAATTTGCAAGATAATTTTATTTGCAGATAATTTCCCACAAAAATCTACACAAGATCCCAAATTTATAGCTTAAAGCTTAGCAAAGTCTATGGAACTTTGTTGGACAATAAATTATCCCTACACATGGTGTAAGACTGGATGCATTCTCTTTGATCCTAAATCAAAAAATTAAAAATCTACAACATATCTCAATTTCATGTAAAGATCATATATGATAAGGTCGTCGTCTGACGTAAAGAATCCTGGTTTGAATATCGAAGTTTTACGGCATTCCATCAAAGGTGAATGGAAGAATATTTTCTGAACCGTTACACTAGTTGCTGATCGGAGACATAAAAAGACAGTATTGGGCATATGTCCATGAGACTTGCCACTTTGATTGCTTTCATCTTCTTGGAATTAACGAATGTGCCACTTTGATTTTTTTTCATCTTTTTGGAATTAACGGCTTATAATAGGTCACATAACCGCAAACTCAAAGGAGCTCAAAATATGTATCAATGCATTGCATTACGACCATTTTTCGATTCATAAAAAAAAGTTCTTAATCTATAAACCGACAAATTTGAGATCTCTGAAGATGTTCTTTCTCATCTTAAAATATTTAAATACAATACAATATCTATATTTCACTCCAGACATGCACAATAAATACATGACAACATGATGTAAATAATACAATAGATATAAATCGAGGCACCAATCAGTACTAAATCCACATGGAAAGATTGAAATTCTATAAAAGAAATAATACATAATTGTTCATATAGCATTATATATCTTAAACTTGCTAAGTATGTACGTTATTTCAATCAAAATTAAGAAGAAGAAAAAAGAAGAAGAAGAAGAGAAAAAAATACATGATATTTCTCACCAATAAGAAGTTTAGCATTTAACAGTCTTAAACACGTTTTTAACAAGGCTTCTTCATTGTTTTAAACAGAACTTATAGTAAATTAAGGTCCTATATAATTTAACCTACGTGCCCAAGTTTTACTCATTGCATCAATAAATGTCTTGATAATCGCAGATCCTACAAGTTTCTGCAAAAGTATGTCATTTACTTGCATTTTATGTTAATAATGTAAAAATTATAGAATTTTTAGTGTGTTCTTATTAATATTATTGAGTGAGACTAGTGCCACACTATATAAATATCGTATTCGGATATATACCGGACAAGGCGTTTCAATGATTAAATGCTGAAATCTCACCTAACAGATTAATCTCTCCATACCGATTTTTACACGATAATGAATGAAAAAAATGTAAGAATCGATATCGGGTTTAAAAAAAAGATATTCGTCTATTTTGTGATCATGATTTCTGCAAGCGTACGTGTAGAGGTACTGCTCCAACACTAGCTGTATATTGAGATCAATCTAATATGAATAGAATTAGTAATTGGACACTCATATAATATGCTTCTTAATTGATGAATTCATATATTAATTACTACTTTTGTTGCATTTTTGTATGTTTCATACATAATGCATGTGATACCTGTAACAATTAATATGTTAATTAAGTATATTCATGTTTCCCATATAATCAGGGTTTCTCGTATTATATCAGGTACGTATATTAACCTGATTATATGTATCGGGACATGCTTTAATTAAACAGATGACATTGGCACTTTGGAATTTGAAAACATGTCTTCTTTGTAGATATTCTTATATGATATATACCAAGTCAAAGTGATAAATTTGAAAAGCATGTAAAAATAATGTTTTATGAGAATATCGATTAATTCAGAAAATTGTGTTAAAACTGCAACTTTAATCGTAATCATACAATAGTTTAATTATTTTGCATAATAAAACACAAACATTTTTTATGATAGTGTATCTAAAATAATTAAAGCATTACAGCACGGACCTATTACATGACACGATTACAGTAATGATTTGATAAAGTCATTACAAACTCATATCGACCAACCTTCAGCAATAAATAAAATTACCAGATAATACGAGAAAGTACCTATAGTTCATCTAGAGGGTTGAGGGTCACTATTTACAAAAAAAAGATGTACTTTTTTCAGATACTATATTATGATGTTTTCCTTGTTCATAATGTCTAAAAGGGATATTTTTCTGTATTTAGGTAAAAAAATCACCACAGTACCTATAGGGGCCTATCTATATATCTACATTGTATATAGCACTGTATCTAGAAATGTTATGTTAAGTTCATCTATGCCAGTTTAGGCCAATAAGAGATAACAGGATAAATAAAATTTTCCTGAGTAAATAGACGAAAAATTAGCTAGTATGTCTATTTAAAGCGCGAAAAGAACTCCTTTTCGCATATTTAACTAATTTACAAACTCCCACAATTCTAGAGTCAAAATGTCACCTGCAAAGCGAAAGTTGGGATGTCTTTGAAAATTCCCGATTTTGACTTATTTGCGTTAAAAATGGAACTAGTTAATAATTAATTTAGTCTTTCATATATGATAAACATTGACATTTCATAGAATGGCTGCTGCATCTGTTCTTCCTTCAACGAGAAGTGAACTTGACCTGTTTCTGAAAGGCGACAAACTTGGGCAGAAATTTCATGAATTATTCCAGCTTCCGGAAGAAAATAACGTCCAGAAGTACGATTTATATTGTTATTTCTAATTTTCTCATCGCTGAAATTCATACATGTTGGTGACTCCTGTCACTGTTTAATGACCAAGTTCATTTTTTTTGTGTTTCTAGTAAAATTATTCTAGAGTAAATTCTACTGTAGCCAAATGATTTTCTGAGTAGAATCATTTGGGATCTGTATGAAAACTCTACCAGTACAAGTGGCTTGTAATATGAAATTAGGCAAAGCCTGTGAACGGGAAATCAGTATTTTTATTTGACATTTTCTGTTTCAAAAGTGCCATTCGGTACTGCTTTCCTTTGTTCTGGTTTCCTGTCTTATTATGGTTCCCATCCAAGAAGGCTGCCCATAATTCCCCGGCTTTTGTCGTTATCTTGTAGGCCGAAAAGTTGCGATTTGTCAATTATCGTATTACTCGCCGTTTATCGATGTGTTATGGTGCCCAACAAGAAATGGCACTGAAAATTTAGCTGATAGGTATAGAATTCTATATTTTTTCTTTTTGATTTCTTTTTAAATTATACACATGTAGCTTATAGCCGGGCAAGCCAAAGCCAGGGGCTGCAAAGCGGCTTCGGACTTTGACTTCCCCATATTAATTCACTGAGCATGTCTGTTTCAAAAATTAATATGAATAAGGCAATGCCTCAAAATGAGCTCTGAAAGAATTTGTAGTTCCAAAGCCATATCTATTAAACCTATTGGCAGCAGCACACATTTAATTGCACCTTTTCTTTTTATTTATGATTACATTTTAATTCATGCTTTCAGGGTTCTCACTAGGACTTTAAAACATGGAGTCCATGGACTCCCAACCCTGAAAAAGTTGGAGTCCAAAAGCTCATTGCAATTAATATGTTTACAGATTAGTCATTAAATGCTCACAATAGCATTGCTGATATTTTGAATTTTCAAGAGTCTTCCAAAGTGTATAGTTATTCAAAAGAAACTCTGAACTACATAGTATAATTATTGTTTTGTTGTTAGTATTTATTATGAAATTATTTCATTATAATCAACACATAGAAATCGTTGTTTTTTTTTGTTTTGTTTTTTTTCACTTTTATACCAAATCAAATTTTATTCTGGTTAAATAAGTCCACTCTAAAGACAAAAAGTTTATATTTGTAAAAAAACGTAAATGTATATAGGCAGCGTTTAGCGGAATGAATAGGAAAATCGTGTACAGCTTCACACAGTGTGTAAGAGATTCATCCGATCGACAATTATTTTAGCAAATATCTTCAAAAGGGGGCAAATTGAAGATCGATGTTTAAAGATTTAATGGTGATTAAATAATAAAGGAACAATTCATTCGCATGTAACTGTTTGGCTTGGAAACCAAGAATTTTCGCGAAATTTAATGGTTTCTGGCGAACGTGAAATAGCCGATGTTCAGGATCAATTTTCGGATAGAATCTAAATATCAAAGAAAAGCGTATCATTATGTGTATTTTGGTTTGTTGTCCTGGCATTTCGGCACAATATCTTAAATTCTTAATACTCTTATAGAAAGTTTTTGCAAGAATGAAACTAAAGCAAAATTGTGCCTAGAAAATGCCGAAAATATTCAAAATTACACTCAAACAGTCTTTAAACGTGCGGCGTAAATAGTCGATAATTTGATCCTTTTGTCGGTAAAATTTGCTAATTTCCAATCAACTGTTGATTAAAGATATAAAATTATCACCTCGTATTATATCTGGTAATTACATGTACTGTACAGCGCGTGTATCACTATTGCGTGATAATGATCGGAAGCGTTATCGCTGATTGGCTAATCGCTTCACGGGTCGATGTGCATAGGACCACCTATCTATAGACTGACACGCTCTGGCGCATTTGTGTATTTGTGGCTGTAAACAATCGGTTTATGCGTCCCCAGGCAAAATTAAGCGTATGTGGAATCCTTGCTCTGAAATATTTGCGTCCAGCTGTAATAAACATGCGTACCGGGATGCCGAAATAAGCGTCCCCGAGAACCCTGTACTTTAGAACTGTACAGTACAGTACACTTTCAGTCGCACAATTCACTCAACACTACCAAACTATTTTTTTACTTTCAAAATATGGCTGTTTTATATATCTAAATGAAAATAGTATATTATTTTCCTAATCCACAGGAAAAGATACCCAATTGAAAGTAAACAAATAAAAATATTGAATGAAAAATCTAAAATCTTTGCAAATTAGGGCTTCTTCACTGTAATAGTGCTCAAATGTTTGAAGATGCCATTATAGACAGTAATTGTTTGCATCCATTTAAGCACTGCAAAATTTCAGTCATGCATTTTTTCCCAATTTTTAACAAAACACCGCTGAAATTCCCAATGCCATCGGTATATGTCATGTTCCTAAAATCCTGGAAAAAATCTCTGCTAAATTGAATCTACGGTACCCGTCAGATAAAATAAGTTCACTTAAAGTCCAATTTCGAGATTAATAATTCCATTTCAGGATTAATAAATTAATTTTGGGAAAAGGTTATAGCGAAACGGTAATGTACCGGAAGTTGAAATTGCTGCAGTGTCTATTTCTATTTTTCTTTAATTAATGGATAAGATGGGCAGACCTGGGGATGATTACATTGATAAGTAATTGATTTAATTACAATTACTTTCAGATTTTATTGTAATTGATTACAATTGATTACTCAGACTTGCCTCTGTAATCAATTAAATTACAATTACTTTGAGAAAGTAATTGATTGATAATTGATTACATTCCATGTATAACTATAAACAAAAGTTTCTTAATGCTATTTAATATATACATTATATACACAAAAAAAAGGATTTCCAGCTCATCAACAGTCATCATTTTAACACACTTTTAGTTACTGTCACATCACTTTATCATATTTTAGCATTGCACTTTAGCATCATAAGTTCATGAAACCGTCTATCAGTCAGACTGCATCTATCAGGACGGAAAATTTTGCCTGTAACACTAAACAAACGCTCTACAGGGGCCAATGATGCAGGGATGGTCCTCAGTCTTCTTGGTGTAGGTTTCATAATGAACTCTCTGCAACAGAAATTTTTAAAAGTGTCAATTGTACAGTATACTGTATACAGGTGTTAAAACAGGTGTGAAAACAATAAATTTTTATATGGGAATTCAAAGAGACAATATACTTTACAAAGAAATTATCAGTTTTTTTACAAACACTTCAATGGTACAACAGTATCCATTATAATATAGGCACATTGTCTATCACCTTACAAAATAACTGTTGCATATAATTAAAATATGGTAATATGCATCTGACATAAACTCTAGAATATACAAAGTAAAGAAGTTATCTACATTGTTTGAAACTTTTTAAAACATGGTTTAACCAAAATATGTGAAACAAAATTTAACATACCTTTATGTGGGTAATGGAATTTGAATGTGACTTAGTGTTTCCATTTATCTCCTTAGGGCACAATTTGCACTGTGCTGTCACATTTCCAGATGTTTCTTTAGGAAATTCAAAGACGTCATAAATCCAATGATTTGACATTTTGGTTAGAATACCAGCCAAACAATGATGTCTATCTTTCAGTTAGAATTTGGTTAACTGTATGGATTAAAACTTATTTCTTCATTGTGAGTGATGTATTAAAATGTCTCACTTGATATTTTACTACCTTAGTTAAACTGTAACATGTGAAATAAATCATTTGAATTTCAATAGTTTCATGTAAAATCTGAAAGTAATCAATATCAATCAAATTTAAGCTGTAATTGATTAATTACAATTAATGTAATCAATTTTGAGCAAGGTAATCAATTACATGATGATTACAATGTAATCATGTAATCAATTAAAAAATCAATGATTACGATTAATGATTACCCCAGGTCTGAAGATGGGTATATAGAAGGCAATTATTTTTTGACTGCAATTTATGATGTATGCTAAATACTTGAAACAATCAACAGTGTTGCATCTAGGCCGCGCGATTGCGCGATTCACGCATAATTTTGCAGATCGCGCATTTCAATGAAGTCAATGCGCACCAAGTCTCGCATCAAACAATCTTTTCAACTTAATTTAGTTAATCTTCATCGTATTTTGAACGCTTCAGCCATGTTTGTATTTGATTTAATGGTAATTAGCAAGGAATTCCAATTGTCAATTTGAATGGGAACCACAATGAGATAGGAAACCAGTAAACTGTTTACCGGGATGCTTTGGTAAACAACAGTGCAGGTAACCTACTGGTACTGATTCCTGGCATGCTCTAAATATAATTTGACAGGGAACCAAAGTCACCTCTGATGAAGAGCACGCAAACTTATTACCCATAATTTTGCTGTACTTCCGGCGAAAGTTTTCAAAACCATCACTTCTACAGATACTTGCGTTACTGTAATGCTCGCTTTACTAGCAGGCCCTTTGGGTTTGCTTTAAAAGGTGTTTTACTGACATTAATTTAATATGCCTTAGTGGTTTGGACTAAGGCTCAGCTTTTGATTTAAACTTCATCTAAAATGAACTTTTGTTTGTGACGTTTCAGAAAGAAGCCAGATAAAAAGCCAAAGAAAGCTAAACACAAAGTGAAAGATAAAAAATCAAAGGTAAGTAACATGGTTGATATTTGATATATATTAAAAATTCTTACTTAAAGTTTTTAATTAATTACTTGTTGTAACTTAATTTGAAATACTGTTGTCAGTCAATATATGTTGTGAAAAAAGCCCCCCAAAACAACAAGAAAAAACAAACTTACTGTTTAGGAAAATCTGTTACACTATATTTCCATCCAGTATTAGAAGGGATGTCACGGGTAGAAAAACATGATATCACATTTTGTGTGTATTTTGTTGTTCTCAAAATGATTACAATACATATCCGGATATGGAGTAACTATTTCGGTTAGGGTTGTACCATTCTGGATCAGATCGGGAAAAATATACGTTATATTGAGTACAACTAAAATACAAAAAAATGTTATATCTTGTTATAAATAACAATGGTATTATAATAATTTAGATTCAATATAACTTTTTGGCCTCTTTGCCAAATACATTGTAACTTCTGAATTCCGGAACATCTAAAATTCGGAAACTTCTGAAATCAGAACATTTTTCAGGGTTCCGAAATTTCTCCTTCTGTTTTTTATGTAATCAAAACCTCTGAATTGCGGAACTTCTAAATTCTGAATACCGAACGATTTTCTGGTAAAATTTGGGTTATATCAATTAAAATTTACTTCCAAAATCCGGAAATTAAAATAAGGTGTGAAGAAATATTACACTTGTAATTGAAAAACCTCCAAAATGTCAGTATCTTCCAATTAACAGTAACCATTTATCTTGACACCTATTATAATTGCAACCTGTCAAGCATATCAAACACTTGTTTTTAAGTGTGAAAATTAAGAAATTGAGAAAAATAATGTAAATAAAAATATACAGGTAAATAGCAGGTACTACATGTATATGAAATATACTAAAGGATAAATTGTGATAATTAATATTATGCTATTGTATCAGCAGATTCAGTTAAAGGTGATAATGAAATTTAAAATAGTAAATTAAAAGTCCTACAATTTTGCTATTTTATTAATTTTATTAATTTAATCAGCTTCATATTTTTTCATCATGTCTTACTAAAAAATAATTGATGTATAATGATTTTACTGGTTCAGATAATTACGAATTTCTAAATTCCGGAAACTTGCAAATTCCGAATTTTTTGGCTAGTCCCATAGGTGTTCGGTTTTCAGAAGTTACACTGTACTTATCTTGGTAACAGGTTATTGAATTTTCTAATCGGATTTTAGCTAAAAAATGATTGTACTAGCTTAAAAGTGAAACCCGTTCAAATTCCTAATTATTAGGTTCAAATACACACTTTGATTCTTTTAGAGAAACTACATTAATGATAGTACTTAACCTTTAGAATTAATAAACTAAAAGTTTTCAGTGTACAGCCATGTCAGGGAACACATCTTCACAGACTGAACAGGTTCTATAACATAGCTGACCAACTTAAAGATTTTCTCCTTGTTATTGACAGTTAATTGATAATTGACAGTTATTAAAATAGAATCAAAATTCAAACAAATAGGCTGTAAATCTGCAGGATCTGAGACATTCATGATCATGATGTTTAAACTTTATATTACCTGCAACTTTATTACTGTAGTTTTATTTTATCGATTGGAAATAATTGTGCAGTATCATAAATTGATTGTAATGTTCATCAACATTTAACAAGTGTATTGTTTGATGCTTTTATATTACCTTTAATGCTGGGCCAAACAAACTGTCCAAAAAATTCTTTATGAATTTTCTAATATATAAACAGCGTGATGCAAGCCCCGAGGAAGTACCTGAGAGTACAGTGACTAATCTAGAGATTCCTGGAAATCCTTCAACATTCAACGTGTACGCTCTCGTTAGACAGACACTTCTAGAAAAATGTATGAAAGAAGCAACAAAGGTCTACCAGAAAAGTACAGGCAATTTTTCTGACTCTGAAACTGATGAAGAGATTGAGGATAAAAGCAGAGATGTGGCCGTCAAAATACCCAAGGTTGGTATAAAATGTTGTTACCAAACTGTGTTAGCGTAGCAAGATTTATGTCTTGAAAAGTAAAGTTTCATTGTGGATGCTAGGTTGATGTCGGAATATTATGCAGAACAAAATTTTTGTTTAAAAGGGTTGTTATTATTTAAAGCCCCAATTTATATTTGAATTTCTTTTTATATCGAAAGTTTATTGTCACTGGACATCAAATGTAAAGTATGAAGTTATTATTAACTAATAAGCCCCTTCTATAGTCTATGTATTTACGTACTATGCATAGTTTGATATGGATATTATAATGCATTATAAATATATTTTCAGATTGTTGGGCTTGGGTTGTGTGGTGTATTTGAGTTGGTTAGAGAGACTCGGGCCAACTACCCAGAGTTATGTGTGAAGGCAATGAAAGCACTTTTAGACATGTTACAAGGACAGCTTCCAGAAAGTATGAAACATGAACCAACGGATGTTGTCGGTATGTGAACTTTAACATCTTTCATACAGTAGCACTTACTTAATGAAATGATGAAACATTTATATAAGAATGAACTTGTCAGATTTTTATGCTCCACCCACAAAATGTAAGAATTGTGGTTGTAAAATTTGCTACTTTTGACGTACGTCCAGAAATCTTGTAAACGCAACTCCCTTAACCGGATGAATTTTGTTAAACTCCAGGATGAAAACCTTAATGGTAGATGATAGTAAATAAAGGAATTTGCTGCGACAAATTAACAGAATTATGGCCTTTGTTGATTTTTTCCACATAACTAGTAGAAATTTTGTGAACACAACTACCTTAAACTGATGGCAGATTTTGCTTAAACTTCAGGATGAACAGCCTAATGTAATGTAGTAAACGAAGGAATTTTTGCTGCGACCAAATTTAACAGATTATGGCCCTTGTTGATTTTTCATATATACCATTATATTTGTCATGGGCATCCTTTCCTCTGGACACATTCTAGTTTTGTCATTTGTATAGATACATAAGTGCCACATTTTCCGGTTTATCATATTTATGTAAGAATTGTGGTTGTAAGAAAAAATTTGCTTTAATTTAACATTTTGACATGACGATGAAGTAAATTTGTGGTTAAGAGACCACAATTCTGCCTTTTGTTTAACAGTATTATAAATCATATCAATACAATGTATTAATTCAATTTACAGATGGATTATTTCAACTTCTGATGGATATAGCCACCAATTCTGGCCCTGATTTTGTACATCAGGGACTGTCACTGACATCTCTGGCATGTTCAGCTTTGATCAGTTTGGTGATAGCTCTAGGAGATACAGGCAAACTCTTAACTGCTGTAGCTGCTCTACTAATGAGCACCGGCCCTCTAGCATCAGAACATATAAAGGTGAGATGATTTACTCAACATAGGACATGTTTTTAACTTTACAGGAGTATATGTTTGTATCAGTATTATCTCTAAAAATGGACGAAATAAATCAGTTTAACAGTGAGTGACTTAGAAGAGATTTTATAATACTGCACGTTTGTAACGTCGCTTTTCATTGGATAATCGTGACGTTTATATAAGTTTTATATACACAGCTGTCGATTCATGAAGAAATCTTACTTTTTTCTCTAAAAAATGATGTTTGCTGTATTTTAAATTCGTTATAAAGATTGTTGACAGGTTATATGGCTGAATATAAAGGGCTGTTTGCAATATAATGGTTGGGGTTATATTTACAAACAGCTGTTTATATAGGGCCATATAACCTGTCAACAATCTTTATAACTAATAATATATGTGTAAATGTAACCTTATGTAACCTTCAAAAAAAGTCAAGGGAGTCCAGTATTGCTTTACATGTAAATGGTCAGGCAGAATTTTGGATTCTTACATTTTATTCTATGTAACAAAATCTTGATCTCAAATTCCTCTAGATAATTGGAACATTTTTTTACAAATTGGGGAATAATCCCAGCAATACTGAATTTGCATAAATTTGCAGATTGTTTCTATAGTATTTGAATGTTATTTTAAAAGCTACACATGTGTCATATCATATTAATACATTTGCATGAATTTTTGAAGGAAAGACATCATATTCAAATATTTGTCAGAAATTGTGGCCATTGGTATATAGACTTGAATCATATGTCCCTTCCATTGAAAAAGAAACAAAAACAAGACACACATAATAACACTGTCACCATTTTGGAATATTTAACACAGTTTTCTGTAATTCTGTTAGATATGTCATTATGATTTAATACCATTACAATTTTCTATAAAGAATACATGTTTACACATGGTTTGTGACTATAAGATATTGGCCTGAATCCATTTCAAAACAAGCTAAAGTTTGACCACAAGTATTGTTTGTATATTACAGGTACCAGGTATATTGACATCTCTACAGAAGAGTGTACAAGCAGTGTTACAGGGGAAGACTCATCTACCAGACTGGTTTACACATGGTGTAAAAGAACAATCTAGACTGTTCTCCTTTACTCTACAAGATATACCACATAGTAAGCTAAATGGTCATATTACATTCGAGCTTCAAAGGCACAGAATGCCACAGAAATTGATATCTAAGAAATGTCAAACATGAATTTAATAATGGATATAGAGTATGTTAGATGTTTAACAGCTGAAGAAGGTAGCGCTGAATATTAAGTAATGTGTTGTAAAGGTAGCAAAATGTAAACAAAGTAGTATTTTGACTTCCATACAAAATACTAATTCACTATAATTATACCAATTGCCAACAAAGCAAAAGATGCGAAGATAGTCCATCTTCATGTTTATGGCAAGTGACTGTAACATGATAGCAATAATTTTAGATTTTTGTGGGGAAAAATGATAGTATTTCTGAGGCATAATTGGCCTTTAAAGTAATTTGGTATGATCTATGCTACATAATACAAATTTTGTAGAAGACTGATGGGACTTTGAATGTATTTTTATGGTTAAGACATATACCTGAGAACCATTTCATAATAACTCAACAATTTTTATCCATTTTATTGTGTTTGTGCAAATTCTGTAGGTCCTTACGTGATAAAAATGTGTCTTTAATTTTATCACATAATCAACTTTGTCCTATTATAATTTTTCAGGTGATGTTTTTTTCATAAAAAGCTTGGCTATTAAGTTAATTTTTCAGATATCTATATGTATACTAAAAGCCATAAATCAAGTAGTGTTGAGTTTAATTGTCTCTTTCATATAATTTTAATTTTAAAAAATTTAGGAGCATGTTTCATTTAATTGTTACACAACACATATTTCTATATAAATGTAATGTATTTCAGCATCATCTGTAGATTCACAAGGTATATCTGCTATAACGTCAGATGGACGTTACCTGTATATACACAATAAATATGGACTATTCAAAATAGGCTCAGGCTATGGTGGATCATTAAAGGTATATAAAACTACATTTGAGCCGCGTCACGACAAAACCAACATAATGTGTTTGCGACCAGCATGGATCCAGACCAGCCTGCGCTTCCGCGCAGTCTGATCAGGATCCATGCTGTTCGCTTACCAACTCTATTACAAGTAGAGAAACTGATAGCGAACAGCATTGATCCTGATCAGACTGCGCGGATGTGTAGGCTGGTCTGGATCCATGCTGGTCGTAAACGCATTATGTTGGTTTTGTTGTGACACCGCTCATTTATATAAATATAGAATACCAGTAAATGTCCTATGTAATCTTGATAAAGCTAAAGACCCTATGCACAATTAAAGTTGCATGCCTCCATGTGAGTCAGAGTATTTCAAGAAAATCAGACTTGAGATAAATGCACAAAGATTTTAAGAAAAGTATAAAAAGATTCAAGATTCATGTATAAATTTACATGTTATGTGGGATTAATGACTGAGTTTGCATTCTTTATCGCTATATTTCTTCTACATAACTGACATAGTGAATATTTGACCTCTTTTTGGTAATTCACATGGATTATAAGTGCCGTTTTGCAACATGTAAGTTACTTTCTTTGTTAACTTAACAATATTTTACTTTTAAATATTTTTAAAAAAAATTTCATGAAAATTTGCATGAATCTGGAGGCATGCCACTTTAAGGTGCAGTGTTTCAGTTTATATATAATTTCAAAAACTCAAAGTAAAGGAAAATGTTTAATAAGTTTAAGAAATGTAATTTATCCATTGTCAAATTAGCATTGGACATGTTTTATGCCAAATAAATTGAATTAACTGTTTTTATAAGGTAATTTATGTATATATTTATATAATAACAGGCTTTTATCACAATATTTGTTCACCTAACAAAACGTTCACTAATTAGAAGTTGATAAAACTTTTTAAAATTATAGCAAACAGCATCTGGAGTTGTGGTGCTAAAAACAAAATCATATGTTGAGTTCAAAGTTTAACCAAAGATCTATTCAGTTTCTCATATTTACACTTGTTATTTACAGGGTCATATTGTATGCTACAGAGAAATGTTACCAGCTAAGTCAAGTGTATGGCTGGCATATGCAGGGGTAAGTGAGCTAGAAATCACATCATGACTGTAGTAACTCAATATGCTTAGATAATAAGCTATGATAGTATTAAAATTTGCTAAATTTCTTCATATAACTAGATTTTAATATTTTTTTCAGTACATGAAATCTAATATTTAGTGTCAGCTGTTTTTAGTTTTGTGTTATGAATGTTCAGACTGATTTACACTGTTAGAATATTGTGACATTACTAACAAAAATGATACAAATAGAATAAACAATGAACACAGGATATGTTTTAAAAGTTTATTTAATGATGTTAACCGACGTTAATGATGTTAACCGACGTTTTGACTCTCACAAGTCTTCATCAGGGTTTTGAAATATTGTGAAAGTAGTTCCATATGATAATATCTCAATAGATGAACAGAAGATACAACTGTTTACCACTTAATAGACATTATGTCTGTAATGAAATTAAGTGTTACCCATTAGTTAAAGATATATCAAGATAGATATTAAACAATAAAGATATTTATGTCACAAAAAAATCTTCTAAAAGTTGATGCAGCTAAGATATAATAATTGAAGATTGATGTGGTATATATTTCAGACATTGCTGTTATGTAGAATAGATAATTCATCTCAGCTGTGTACTATCAACACTGACACACTGGAAGTGGAGAATCTATGTGATATGGATGGTAAGATATTTACACATTTCATCTCATTTATTTTTGGTTGAAATTCAAGTCACTAGAATGCTGTTAATGTAAGATGGTAAATACAAGTATAACTACATTCACAATATTTTTTTCCACACAATATTGCTTTAAGTTTGTAACAACCGAAGTTAGCCACCAAAAACATCTTCCTGTTTTGGCACCATATGACCTTGTGTTGTTACCTGGTAAAACCAAACAATACAAGACAAAAATATATTTTGTATAATCTGTAAATCAGCCAGATTAATTAAATATCCCTTGCAGAATTTAAATGCATTAGTTAGGGGAAATAAATAACTGTTGAATTCATGAACAAATTTTGGGACTTGGGCATTAGAATTTCATAATCTCATCATGTTTTTTTACTGAAATAACCTAGAAAGGTTATTTAAAAGTGTAATCTTACATATTTTCTTTTCTTATCTGTCACATCAATGAAATTTAATGCATGCACTGATGTTGAAATTTGCAATTAATTTTAGGACATGGTGTTGCTCCATGTGCCATGTTTTGTGATGGAGAGCATATAGGACAAATTACAGCAGCAAAAGATGTAAGTACTTGATGAATTTACACAAATATATTTGATTTATGACAAGCAATAATGCACTTTCAAAAAAATATTTATGAAAAAAGTGACAGGAACTTTGGATTATTTATGTTAAAAAGCTATCTAGCAAGATTTAAGCCTTATGAAAGGAGGGCGATTCTGCTCAGGGGGTCACTGGTGCCTGTGATTAAGCATAAACGGGAAAGAAAATCTTCCACCACCAGTAAAGCTGAATAGTTGCCATATGACTTTTACAGTCTTGGTGCGACTTTAAACAGAACAAAAAGAAATAAATGAATACAATGTTCATGAATGTGATAATGATAACCGTTTTACTATACCCGAAGCATAAAGAGAATTTTTGTACTTCTTCAAGTTAGAACCTTCTTTCGTGTTCTTGTCCCTCTACTGACATGGTAACCACATGCCATTCTGTTTATGCTTGGTGTTCCATGTTGTGATAAAGTCTAGTTTATTTTGATGCACAGACATGTGTACGTCCCCACAAGGGGTTTGACATTATTGGAAGATGTATAGTTTGAGGAGAATGTAATTAATTTTAGTATGGTAAAAGTTATAATGCTTATTTTTTTTACAGAACTAATTATATTGTAATAAAATTGGCTGTTTTCTGTACAAAATTTATTTGCTTGTAAGTTGGGACTTTGTTTTTTATATTTCAGGACAGTTTTGTAGTACGTATGTTTGACCCACATCAATCTCCTATGACAGTAGTCAATGAATTACCTCTTAAACTGACGAGAAAATGTGTGGATGCGTTCGGTGTTGATATTTCTGATCAAAACAATAGTGATAGAAGAACAATATGTAAGTGTTTTGACAGTTTTAGATATTTATCACATACCCATGCCGTTTTTCCGACTCCTTATAAAAATGGTAAATATTGCATGACTGTGCATATATTTTGAAGTGATGTCATTTACCTTATACAAACATAATGTAAAGACATGCTAAATGTTAGCTTTACACTATAGGCTCGCCAGAGGTTCGCATAATATAACTTTATTCAACTCGTTCAATAAATTCAGTATTAAACTTAAACTCATTCAATATCTTAAGTTTGAACTGGAACAAAGTTCTTTTGGTATGATTTTTGTATTTTCTGATTGCAGATCAGGAAATACAAAGCTAACATTCAATCTCTTCACAACAAACCTAACAACAAGTAGTTCTTAAAACTAGCGATGTAAAAGAAAGAAATATTTTTATTTTGTTACAAGTATCCAACAAATTACAAGGCAATCAAAGTTTAAAAGTAGCGTTGGCTTATAGAATTGTCAACAAATGAACAATCACAAATTACGTGGATGAATATCATTTTAATCAATGAAATTCCTTTTTTTTAAGCGATGTCAATTACCGAATACTTCAGAGCGTATTACACAAATAAATCTGACTGTCGAGTAGTGGTATATACTATATACATGCGAGAAGATTTTCGCTAAATTATTTACATCAGTGTTAAACAACAGGTTTATCGTGAACAAAATGCTTCAAAATTGATAAGGATTACAAACCCTAAAATGGAAATTCTAAATTTAAAATTATTTGATTTTATTATAACTTCCCTGTGGTGCAGGGGTAACGCGCTTGTCTAGGGTGTGAGAGGTCTAGGGTTTTTTTTAAGTGTCTTTTTTAAGGAAGTAGCCACGATATGCAAGGATAAAGTGTGGCTGTGATATAAATGTATGTATGTATGAAACTCAAACTGTTATAGCAAAAAATCTAATCGCAGATGAATTTTAATGAAATTAAATGAAACAAAATGATTAATAGTATATGAAAATAATCTTGTACAGGAAAATACATACAGATATACAGTACGATTTAGATTGCAAAGATCAGAAAATACCACAGAGCTTGCAGGCCTTTGATTTAAACTTTTGTTGTAAAAGCATTATCTCTGCTTATATGAAGATTACGAAAAAATAGCTTGTATCTATTGCTTTTGTCCTTTGAATTAAAACTTAAACTAACTGTATTTTTTTTAATGTTCAGAATTTTGTTGAAATTCCCTTTATTTGCTTTTCTGTTTGAAATATTATCGAAAAATGTAAAAAAAAAACAAGCAATTGAATTTCAGGTACCGGGTTTGATGAAGATATAGCATCAATTACTTCTGGGAAAGAGTTTAGTCTAGTCAGAACAACTGGAGGAAAGGTATTGTCCATGTTGTTTTCATAGTTTTCTATTTACATTAAAAATTCTGTATCTATAGCCAAGTGTTCATAATTTTAAGCTAAAACTTTCAACAGTTGCTTTAATCATATGAAAATAATCATTTTAGAAACTATTCAACATGACAGAGAACAGAGACTAGGAATAGCTTTATTTGTGCACTGCTGAAAATAATAAAAATGTCTGAATAATAAAAAAAAATTATGATCTGTCGATTTTTATTAATCGGTCTATTGCATTGAATTTGAATTCATTTGTTGCGTAATAAAATTGAATATTTGTACCAAAAGTTATGAATATAAATCTCTTAACAAAAAGCGAATCTCCACTAAATATGTTTGAAATAGATAAAAATAGAATATATATGAATTTTAGCTTTTTTGTGTGGATACTGAATAGTTGCCTGCACTTAGTTTACAAAGCCTGTTTTATGCATTGTACATTTTATTAATGTTAAGGTGCTGTACATGGGGAAAGCTGCTGCTCTTGGAATAAAACAGGGTGGACCTACTTCAGGAAAGTGGGCAGAACTGCCGATAACAAAGTCTCCCAAAATAGCTCAGTTAGCAACAGGACATGATGGTCAACATGCCTTACTTGTGACAGAAGATGGCAGTGTGTTTTTTGTAGGCACACCAAGACGAGGAGAAGATGGTGATACATCAACATGTAAGTATTTATACAGTCCATTCTTCATCTTTCCAGGATTTTTGGGTACTATCGAACCTGGTAGAGTTTGACACAAGTGCAGGGATGGTCTTAATTAAGTTGTCTTAAAATATCGAAAATACATACAATGTTAAATAAGTGTTATGTCATATGCTTTTATTCGGACAAGACATGACACAATACAGAACCTTGGTGTGTTGAGGTTGAAGGAATTTGTGAAAAATTTTGACACATCAGGACTTTTGACTCATGAATCAGTCTCATTTTAATGACAAAATTTCGAGCATTCAACATTAGAAAATCGACTAATCAAAGTTTGCCTCAGAAGCTTTATTGTATTTCACTTTTCATTAACTTAAAGGTTTTGGAAATTTGAACAGAAAGATCATTTCCAAAATACAAAACTTCCTCTCTGGCTTTAGGGCAATTTGAATGCCATGTTTTATCACTGTACTTTGTAGGTTTTGTTTGGATGAGGGGTTGAAATCACATTGATCCTGGTCAGATCATGTGACCACATTCCAAACATGTACTGATTAAGAAAGACTTAAGATGCCTTTCTGTATGTATCTTTAATTTTGTCTTAGCTTGCTTTTATTAATAAGTCTTGTATATATTATGAAAGTTATATGTATGTGTGATTTTCTATTCAGCAAAGGGAAGAAGACAGCCCAAAGCTGTCAAACCAAAGAAAATGATCCGACTAGAGGCAAAGAATGTAGTATATGCTGCCTGTAATAATGGTAGTAGTGCTGTGATCACCAAGGAAGGCGGAGTTTACATGTTTGGTAAAGATACTGCACATTGTCATCAATCCAGTGGTAAGTGAGTTATTAATCAGAGGAATGTATTTTGTTTTATTTTAATGAAAAGTAGGTCCTGTCATAGGAAAAAGTAATTCTCCTTGTACATGAAATTTAGTCAGTTTGATTTTAGAGAAAGGCTTACCTTGTCTTTAGAAACATTATTCAGACATTCCTGAATGCTTTTTTATCAATAAGATATAGTTGCAGTTGAAAATATAACACATATGATATCATCAATAGAAAAAAAGAGTTGAGGCATCAGCCACGGTCTATCCCTGCATAATTGTAAGAGACAATTAAATGTGTTCAATTTACTGGAGTCTCTCCAGCAGGTGAGGTGGTTTTGACCTCTGATGTTGCTTAAAGTTTGTAACACCCAAGGTTAGCCCAAATTATCTTTCCTGTTTCGGCTCCATATGACCTAAATTTTGTTGGTGCTCTATAAAACAATTGATGAGCTATAAATCAAATAAACAAACTATATATATCTTTATATATACATGATAGGTCATGTGACAGATTTGAAGGACCAGATTGTTACCCAGATAGCATTGGGAAAGGCTCATGCTGTAGTACTTACAAACAAGGGACGTATTTATACATTCGGTATCAACAATAAGGGACAATGCGGTAGAGATTTCAATCCTGGAGCAAGCAAAGATGGTAAACTACATGTATTTAAGATATAATTGCATGTTGTCACTTTTGTGCAGTTATGGGTTAACTCCTGTTGAATAATATAATGAGTTAATCCATTACTGAACAAAGGTGACAATGTAAATAAATGTATTTTCTGTTTGGTATATAGACTTTTTCTATTTATCACTTTTACCTATAGTGCAGTTTGTATAGTATAAATAACATTAATGATGATAACTTTAGATAGAGATAGATAGATTTATTTAGATGCCCTATTTTTGAATAGTATTGCCAACATTTGTGAGCAGCATGCCATGCCTCCAGATGAGTGTCTTGTGATTAAAATTCAAATCCCTTGCCCGTGATTTCTGATAGTTTGAATCCCAAAGAGACTATAATTAATTGTAAGAAAGCTATCAGTTGGCTTATCATTATAGAAGGCTGGTGGTTCAACTCAGATGCCTTTATGTGACTGAAATTTTTTTAGGAAAGACACCTTAGGACTTCAGCCACCAAATATAGTGTAAAAGTGATCTTATGACATTTACAGGGTTATAGTGTGACTTAAATCTCTAAGCTGCACTTGTATATACCATTAACTTTAGTTAATATTTCAGTTGGTAGTCAGAATGTGAACATGACAGAGGAAGAGGAAGAAGTAGATATGGAATCTATCTTGTGCCCACCAGGTAATATGGTTAACTTAAAAAGTCCAGTCATGAGTAAAAATGAATTATTAATATCCAGTGTAGGCACACATAAATAGATTAAAGCAGTTTCTTTGGCTATGAACTTTAAATTTTTTTATCAAATAGGATTTTAGTTGTTTTTTTCTTAAGTTTCATGTCTGAAAGAAATTCTTATTTCTTGCTTTACATTGTTTTTTTTACTGAGTGTAATGTTGTGGCATATATTTAATTTGAATGCTAGTCATATAATCATCCACTGACCTACTTGTTTGAATGTACATGTCTGACCTATTGTTTACACTAACTTATTGACTTGAATTTTGTAGGGAAGCATAAGTGGAAGTTAGATCAGTGTATGGTATGCTTTGTATGTGGTGAATGTACTGGGTATGGTCTCGGCTGCATAAATTCTGGCAGGCGAAAAGACAGAAACCCTGGCATGTAAGTGTGGTTCTAGTGTCACTGAAGCTTTAATAAAGGCAGTTTATAAATGCTGATGTTTTAAGACCTGGAATTGTTTAAGTTTGAATTTAAAGTTAAACATTTTAATCATTGAGTACATGTTCTCTTAAAAGCCTATTGATGTTTGACAGTTGTAAAATTCTTACAAAATCAAAACCTTTTTAAGTGTTTTTTTGCTATGGGTGCGGTGAACATCTATTGGATGGTAAATAAAAAAGTGTTCAACATTTCAACTTCAGAGAAAAAAATGTCAATTGATCCAGGTGTCAGTTTAATATTTTTTACTCTTTTGATACAAGATTTTATTGTGGGAAAATATAATATAGTATGTACCAGGGCTTAGTGGCCAAATTGGTTAATGTTGCAACCTTTGAAACATTTTCCACTCGCTATTATAAGTTCCACCCTGTTTAAGATAATCAGTTATGGAAGACGGATATAGTTTTGAAAAATGGGGCCAACTTTCTTAAATAAGCTAGAGGGATGCCTATTAATCATTATTGTATTAGTATTCTAAAACTATTGAAAATATAGGCACTTATAAAAAAAGAAGTTCAATTCCTTGTGTGGATCTCATGTTTTTGGAAATGCAGAATATAAATTACGTTATCTTTTTGCATGTTTATATAAGGCACTTATATATATTTACGTGTTGTATTTAAGGCCGTGTGGTTGTGGTGCTGGTGAAGCAGGTTGTACAGAATGTGGAGCATGCAGATCTTGTGCCGGAGAACAGTTAGACGGTGAGGATCTTGACGTGGATTTACTCAAGGGCAAGGACGGCCCATTTGACCTTGCCAAGGACATAGTCCACCTCAACCTTATCATGGGTGAACGTCTATGTGTTGTTGATCCTAGTAAACATCTAGCTTGCTTGGATACCAGCAGTTGCTATAATTGCTTACCTGTGCTTCTTAAGTTCATGATTATTTTTTTCTATTCTTGGTTTTTGATTTATCATAATGATCAGGTCTTTGTTTCTATTTCTTGTCTGTGTAATATTTCTAGTTCTGTAACCTTTCACACAGTTTACAGTCACCTACATCATGTTTAATTATTAAGTTTTAATCGCTTAAAAAAATTCTGAAATTTAACTTTTATTATTCATACACATTTTCCTATATTTACTCTAGCAAAACCAATTTCCTAACAGAAAATATATAACCCTAGCTCACAGAGTAATCAATATACTCCTGCATTATCCAAATTTTTCACAGCAAGAAAAAATATTTGTCAAAAGTAAGAACATGTAGCTTTAAAGTTACAGACATTTATATGATCAATTTCTGTAAAGGCCTGTAAATGGAGATAAAGTGTATGTTTTTTCTTGAAAGAATGAGTAATAAACACATTTAAGTGAATTTTTACATTGTTTAATTTCATCACATACATTTACATCTTATATGTTCAAGAAAGTGTGGGAATCTTGAAAATGAGTGTCTGTTGCTAATTGGTTGTCATTTTTGTCTAAACACATATTTCCTCCTGCTGTTTGGTTTAAGTATTGGCAATGTTGTTGAATTAGTTTATGTGAGGAAACTTACATAGTGTTTGTTTACTATATGTAGCTGGTCTCAATTTTGTACCAGCTTGTGTCTGAAATAATGCATAAAGTGGCGTCAGTGGTCTTATAATATAAGTGAAGCTACTAAACCCCAGTATGACCTTAACTCAAACTCGACATAAGAAATGTTGTGGATATTGGCAACTTTAAGAGAGCTTTGGTGGATATCTTTGAATATAGAGTAATGGTTATTTCATCTGCTGTATAGATACATTGTTACTAACACATGGAGATAGTCAAACCTTTAAACTGGTTCCTTTCATATATTGTTATTTTCTTGAGATAACATTTTGTATGGTTCAGTATTATATAGACAGTATAAAGCATGGAGTTAAAAGATGGTACTTGTATGTGCTTTGGTATAAGTAGCATTTATATATAATATATAGATGTAAGCCATATATTATATTAACACTTTAGTTGTGTAACTACTGGTAGTGTAAACACACACACACATGTTCGTTATACATATAATTTTTTATTAAATTTTATTTTTTTATTTATGTATGCATGACGTGATTGTATGTGACTTCTAATAATCATATTCTATAAGTTTTAAGATTTTTCTGAGATTTTAAAGCACAATTAATGTAATTCAATGTATTAATTTATTTTAAGAGTAACACAAAAATGTTGAATTTTATTTCTTCAAGTAGTGGTCATGTGCTGTCCCAGTGCTTTTCTTTATAAATAACTACTGAAGATTTAGCTTGTTGACCGTGCATTATTCACAAAAAATTACAGTTAAAGATGATTGGCTGAAACTATTTTGGTGACTATACTTTAAATGGTTGGTAAAGATGTTTTTGTTTTGCAGGTGGAGGGAGAGAAATGAAAAAGGCGGGACCTTTTGCCGAGCTTCTTGCCAAGATGGAACGCTCTAGAGCTATGATACAGAAAAACTGCGGGAAAATAGGCGGCAAAATGAGAAGTAAGTTATTGTGATATTGGAGTTAAAGAATAGTTATGGTAAAAACGTAACCATGTTGCTTTGTGGTGTCTCTTAGTTTTTTTGTCATTGTATGCCCTTGCTAATGGCTATAAAACTTGTCTGTAAAACTCCAAAAAGGAAATTTACAATGTTTTTTATTAAAGAAAATTATTTCATGCAGTAACATTAAACAGGTTAGTTGTTAAAGTAGTAGGTAATGCTAGTAATAATGCTAGTAATGTGTTCTAATTTTGCCTTAATTTTGTTGATAGTTCAGATTTTGTTTTAAATCTGATGATAATTCAAATTTTGTCTGATGACAGTAATAAAAAGAAACATTTAGAGTAGTCACTGACTTTGTAAATAAAAAAATAATTATACCAGTAGATATAATGGCAATGATTTTGTCAAGTAAAAATGTTGAATTGAATACTGATTATAAACTAATTTATGTCATATGACATCTTTTACCAAATATATGTATATATAACATCTAAGATGATGAACCCTTTTGAAAGAATCAGAAATGTGATTTATATAAATATAATAAGTGGACAATTTATAATAAATTTAAGCTTTGTCTATTTCTATTACTAAAATGTAATAGATCATTTATAGTTAAGAATATAGTTAAGCATCTAAATAAATAGATTGTTTTTTGATAATCAACTAAAAAAGTGAGAATGAAGAATTTGAAAAAAAAAGTTTAGTGCATTTCTTTGCTCCCTTCATTACTTATTTTATGTTAAACAATCAGATACTTTGATTGATCTGTAAAATAAGATATACAGCACTCATTGCATGGCCTTGTTGTGAACACGTGATAAGTCATTACATAACATCACAACCAATTAGATGTTACATTCACTGTTATATTGATTTCCCAATATAAGCAATATTGGTCGGCCAATGTGGTGAACATGATTGTGACAAGTCATTACATAACATCACAATTGAAACAAGAAGCCCAGCATCAGTTCACATCTACCTTAAACATAAATAGATATCTAGCATTACCAATTAGATTTTACTTTTCTGTGATATTGATTTCCCAATATAAGAAATATTAGTCTACAATTGAAATAGCTTAATCTGTAAAATCTCTTTATTTTATTTTTATGCCCCCACAATGTGGGAGCATATAGCGTTGCACTTGTTCGTCCGTCCGTCAGTCAGTCCGTCCGTCCGTCCGTCCGTCAGTCAGTCCGGCTGTCAGTCCGTCCGTCCGTACGTCCCGAAATCTTGTGAACGCAACTCCTCTTAAACCGGATGGCAGATTTTGCTTAAACTTACAGGGATGAACAACCTTAAGGTGTAGATGGTAGTAAAGGAAGGAATTTTCGCTGCGACTAAATTTTACAGAATTATGGCCCTTTGTTGATTTTTTCATTATATACTATGTAGAAATTTTGTGAATGCAACTGCTCTTAAACCGGATGGCAGATTTTGCTTAAACTTCCAGGGATGAACAACCTTAATGTGTAGATGGTAGTTAAGGAAGGAATTTTTGCTGCAACCAAATTTAACAGAATTATGGCCCTTTGTTGATTTTTAGTTTTCAACTTGTGGCACATGTAGTCCAAAAAATATTTGACCTAGAGTCATAAGATTGGCATGTGGGGGCATCCGTGTCCTATGGACACATTTCTAGTTTATGCTTTGAAATCATGAAAGCAAATTTAGCTTTCTCATTTATTAAAAGTAAAAGAAAAACTATTTATCTGTAAGTGCTTTAAAGCTAGGAACTGATTGGCCGATAGCAAGGTTATGAGAAGATGACCTCTAATTGGTGATGCTCAGATCCTTATGTATTAGCCAATCAAAATATCATAATTGTCTGTGATAGAATAAGAATTACTGAAAGATAAAATATACATGTATTTCATGTTGAGTGAATACATGTTATTGAGAAGTGAACTTCCTTAAAGGCGCATTATGCCCCAGAAATTCTTTTCTTTTTACTTCTCAAAAGCTTTATTTTCCGATGTCCTGTTATTGTTTCAAAAAATTTACTCATTGGCAAATTTCCTGAACCATCTTTTACTTCTGTTGCTGTTTTTCCAATTAATTTAGTTTGTTTAAGTGATTGAGTATTTTGTATGGAAGTCAAAATACTACTTTGTTTACATTTTGCACTTTTTATATAGAAATAACTTTACATTTAATGTTTCTCTCATCAGGTGATATGCTAAAACCATTATCTAGATATAATTAAGCTCATGTTTGCCCTTTTAAAGAGGAAATTATTTATTTTCTTCGGAGGCATAATGCGCCTTTAACTTAAGCTATATTATTCTGGTTATGTTGAAGGTATTACATTGAAGTATCTTTTTTATAAAAATACAGATTATACATGGTTAAAAATGTTAAGAAAGCTATAAGTTAGGTGATGTGTTTAAGCTAGGTGACATGTTTAGTACTGTGTCAGTGTGTGTTGCTTTCAGGAATGCCAGTAGTACAGAATTTGCCTCCACATATAATGGGAATGATGCATGTATTTAACGAGAAACCTTCAAACAATAAAGGTAGATAATACACACTGGTTCACTGCATTAGGTTATAAATGAGCCGCGTCACGACAAAACCATCATAGCGCGTTTGTGACCAGCATGGATCCAGACCAGCTTGGGCATCCGCGCAGTTTGATCAGGATCCATGCTGTTTGCTTACCAACCCTATTACAAGTAGAGAAACTGATAGCGAACAGCATGGATCCTGATCAGACTGTGCGGATGAGCAGGCTGGTCTGGATCCATGCTGGTCGCAAGCCCATTATGTTGGTTTTGTCATGGCACGGCTCATATATGGATTATTTTCCACCTCCTCTCTCTCTATCTTTCATACTCTTCTGCTGACCACATACTTGGAGACTTTACCTCATATTGTTAGTGTGTTGATTACTCATACTTTGAAAGTGAGATTTTAATTATGTGAGGGTCTACCTTTTTGGTTTTATTATCATTTTTGGTTTATGAGTGAGAAGGTCTGAGTTCGTAAATATGCATCCATTATTTATGTGTAAAAGTGTCTGAGCTTTACATATTTGGTTATGTATGATAGGGTCTTAGCTTGTAGTTTAATATCCATTGTTTATGAGTGACAGTGTCTGAGCCTGTAGTTTACTCATTTATTGGTTATGAGTGTCTGGGTATGTAATTTACTTATCCTTTGGTTATGAGTGACAGTGTCTGAGACATTAATTTACTCATTCATTGGTTATGAGTATCTGAGTATGTAATTTACTCATCATTGGTTATAAGTGACAGTGTCTGAGCCTGTAATTTACTCATTCATTGGCTATGAGTGTCTGGGTATGTAATTTACTCATCATTGGTTATGGGTGATGTCTCAGTCTGTGATTTACTTATTCTTAGGTTGAGAAAGTTTGTCTGAATCTGAAATTTACTTATTCATTGGGTCTTTATGTTAGGACTATTCATGTATTACATGCATGTAAGTTATTTACTTAAAATGATGACTTCTCATCATTTGGTTAGGATTTTTAAGAGTTCACTCGTGCTTTGGTTATGAATGTTAGTGATCCCATAGTAGCAAGTGTGAAGGGGTTTTATATAAGAATAAAAGAGGCTTTACCAATACCGTATAAGTGGTTTTTTCTGCGGGCTCCAAATTCTGCGGTTTTTCCAAATTTTGGCATGTTTTTATTTCTACGGACTTTATTTCTGCGGCAGAGTCTTTGGACAAAACGTGATTTAAATTCTGCGGCTCATCTTATCAAAGTCTAAGTCACATTACTCTACCTATTTTATTTGCATTTACAAATTCGTATTAAAATTTTGTTTATCGTGGTAACTACAAAACTATATAGTAATTACAATCAATTATATTGTTTGCTTGCAAACAAATATAATGTGCAACAGTAGACAGCATGCATCTTTTGATCATCGTGAGATGACGTGTTAGAAATATACCCCGGGAGTATCTTTAATTTAATAAAATTGATAGAAGTTTATCGTAAATCAGACAACAGTTAATGTATACGACGATTTTTTAGCAGTATAAGGGTTAAAATGGTTTTAATGATTTAGTGGTTAACAAACCATTTTAACGTACAGGCAAACACTATGATGTTTAAATATCTTTATTCATAAATTGGCATAATTAACAGTAGGTACATCCTTACAAGCATATATTACATACTTAGCCGAAATCAATTTTATATAACTTGATGACCCGCTTACCTTTATAATCCGTTAGTCGTTATTACTTTAGAGGAAACAGGTCAAATTGTAGGACACATATCGTTAAAAAAAACATGGAGAAATATTCTGCGGTTTTTATTTCTGCGGTGTTGAAACTGACCGCAGAAAACGCAGAAATAAAGTCACCGCAGAAAAAACCACTTATACGGTATGTTAACAGTTATTGAGATATGGGCATGTCATTACTGTAAGGCAGTAAAGTGATAAATTACACATCCTTTGATTATGTGTGTGAGAGACTTAAGTTATCATGGTTACATCATTTGGAAATAGATGTAAAATACATACAGTAAACTTCACTTACAGCAAATACGGTTATAGCGAACTTCCAGTTAAAAGGAACAATTTATTTTGGCCCGAATTTTGCCCTTCTTTATTTAATATAAAAATGTACGGTTATAGCTAACAAGGTTATAAGGAATCATCATTTATAAGGAACTAATTTCTTAGTCCCAATTTAGTTGAAAGTACAGAAAGTTTTACTTTTATAACGAACTCCCAAATATCGGCTATCCGAACATAGACTTTCGTTTTCATTGGCACAGATTAAAACTCAGCCGAATGTACTGTTTATTGTTGTATGTACTTCAAGACATCTATTAAAATGAATTTCTATAGCAGTATGTTATAGTTTTCAATTCAGGATACTTTTTGCATGAGTTCTTGTCACCAAGATAAAACAGTTATTCCCTTGTATTCTATTATTTCTTTTCTTTAATAGTTTTGCTCCAGTAAAATAATCATGATCATTTATAATTGCTTTTCAACATAATCAAGCATGCTTGCTAATCTATTGAAATCTACAAAGTATGCTTGATTAAAATGAAAAGAAATCTATATATTTCATAAGTAAAAGTCTCCCTTAAGATATAATTATAGAAGATATTCGACATAAAAGGAAGGAAAAATAAAAAATATTGTGTATTCTTAATCATGGAAAGGAAACGAAAAGCATCAAGTTTAGAAACAAAATATGATATTTTATGAGAAATTGAGAAAGGGAGTAAAACTAAAACCGAAATAGCAAAAGTATTTTCAAATTATCGGGTATTGTGTCTAAAAAGGAAATTAATGACTATTTTTTCTTAATCAAATGCTCTTAAAAATGGCAGATGATTGTAAAAAATCAGTTCGTTATATGTAAATCTATTCGCTTTAAAAACTCCTGATACAAGGCACTAATTCACTATATGCCTACAAGGAACTCCGGATATAAGGAGCAGATTTTGAATGTCCCAATGAGTTCGTTATAAGCGGAGTTTACTGTATTATAAAAACTTATCCTTTGGTTAAGCATTTGCATTTTGAGTGCAGTATGTGTGGTATAAGAACTCACTGGGAAAATTTTCTTTGTTGTAACTTTTTGCAGATTTGGCTTTTTAAGTAGATTTTAACTCAGATTTTAATTTTGTAATAATCTCATTAACCAGAAAATTAAAATGCTTTCTGAAAAGCTTACCAAATAACTGATATTGATCAAGCATTTTGTATATATACTATTTAATAGACACCCTTATATGATAATAACTTTTAACAGGTCAGTAGTATTTAACTAATACCTCATCCTAGCTTTGTTGAGTGAGAAAAACAGTCTGATCTTTAATACTTGATACTTAAATACACCAAGTAATTTATTATATACAGTGAAAGTTGAGAAAACCGGACGGCTTTCGGACTGAGGGTTTTGTCCGGTTTTCTCAGCGGTCCGGTATTCTCAATGTCCCCTTCAGCTGTTCAGGATCTTATATCATAACCGAGCAATGACTTACAAAGGATGCTAGTGTATATTTGCATTTTCATGATCATGTGTACATATATAGCTAAATAGAGAAATGATAAAAATACAAGAAATTATGTTTTAATTGTTTTTGTCTCATTATTGCATATAAATACAATATTATTTTGGATTTAATGAACAGCAGTTACCTCATAACGATCAAGTCCGAGTACATCTGCATATGTTTACATTTGGGTAATGGATAATGATTTAACGAACATAGTTTACTTTGTTTGTTTATAATAATGCCCCATTGTAAATATTGCCGATAACATATTGGTCAGATTTTTAAAGTAGGTCTCGGCAAAGTTTCACTGTCTTTAATTAATTTAACTTTGCCACTTGTAGACAGCTCTCGTCGAATTCTTTTCGGCCATGGAATGGAACTAAGCGCCGATAAATGACGCCTCCATTGCGTAAAAGGCAACACAGTAGAAAAATACTCTATTTTTTATTCATACTGATTTTCACCGATCAATTTCTGGTGCATTTTGGCATTTATATGAAACGGTAGCATCTATATCTTACAATAAATCAAACTGTGAAAAGAGACATTATAAACAAATCAGACAATCATTGCTCCGTTACCGCTCAGTTAGCGCAATTGATAAGTAAAAAAGGGTTTAACCCCATTCGGCCCCGGAATTGTGGGGAAATTTGTCTATAAAATTTAAAATTTTGTAGTCCCCTATCAACTTTTCCCCTTTTTGGGTTTTCAATCCTATTGTCAAATGTTAATACAAAGTTAAAGAAAAAAAAAAATCTTTTGGGACTTTTATTGGGTCCCGTATTTAGTGATTTTCCGATTTTCTCAGCGCCCGGTTTTCTACATACTCTACTTTAGTTGATGAGCTTTAGGAGTCATACATAGAATCATGTTTATTTTGACCTCTAGGGATGTGGTAGTTTTAGCTGAAAATAAAAAAAACCCACATGCTTTATAGAGGTAGCTTGAACATTTTTTGTTTGTTTTTGGTAGCTTTGGGCATTGTTTTAATATATATTTTCCCTCAATTTAAATATTTAAACACAAGTCATAAGCCTTCATAATCTATTGAAGATACAATGGATTTCTTTGATTGAAATAAACTCATTAATTTATGGATTTGCAGCTGTTGCATATATAGATTATATAAATATGATAGGAAGTTCAAAGTTCCAGGTGGTTTGACAGTAGATTTATTTGATATAAGATATTTATTTGGATTACACTCATGTATACAATTAGCACCAAACAAGGGGCCCCCGCACGAAAAAACCCAACAAAAGGGGTTTGCGCCGGGCATGGATCCAGCCCAAAGGCCGGGGCCGTTTTCTCACAGTCTCCCGGGAAATCCATGCGGGTTTGTTTTACAAATCTTATAACAATTTAGAAAAACTGATTCGAAACATGGATCCTGATCAGCCCCCCCGCGGATGCGCAGGCTTTCTGGTCCATGTTTGTCGAAAAATGCACTATGTTTTTTGTCATGACGGGGCCTCTTTATATTTTTTAAACCCAATGAGTTTGTTAACAATTTCAGAT